CTAGTGAAGTTGGGAAGTTTAATTACAATGATTTTTCTTTGTTAGCTGCTGTCTATCAGTATGACTATGGAAAATGTCTATGCTAGATGTTTTAAAGTAGAAAAGCCTCTGTTGGAACTCCAGGATCCCAGCCTCCTTTTGTCACTTAAATTCTATGACCAGAGCCTGGTCAAGTGTTTCCCTAGGGAATTGGAGGGGATGGGTATGTGAGAAAATGACTTACTGCAGCATCTCTGTCACAGAGAGAAGGGAGCAGGCCTGTGTGTTGTGCTCCATCACACATGTGCAAAACTCCTAAGAGATAGTATGTTTTAATATCTGCCTCCTTCACACCAGGCTTCAGGCTCCTGGAGAGCAGAAACTGTGTTACTCTTGTCACAGGGTTGATAAGAAATCTGTTAACCAGAAGATATGCACTCACTGTTTCAGAAGGGCAAATTCATTGGAAGTTAGGCAAGGGGGCTCACAGAGACTGGGAATGATGGGTATTCAAATTACTGGTGTTGCTCTCAGAGCTCCAGGCCTCAAAGAGCAAAGCAGAAATTGATCTCTGTCACCACCTGCAGCTCAAAGGCCAAACTGCAGGATCCTGTCTCAGAAATGGGCTCCCTAGATCCGAACCTGTATTGCTGAGAATCTGTGCTTTTTATGGCAAAGATTAGAATTTTTTCTGGGGACAGACAGACTCTTTGTTTTGATAGAATTGTAGCAAACCCCTTTAGTTATGCAAATGTGAAACCCACCCTGAAATGCAGTCAGATAACCTGAATGTCAGTACTTCTGTCCAAGATGTTAACTCTGTTTATTCTCATTACACTCATTTCTGCCAAGTTCATGTATGTAATGGTAGTGTGTTTTAGAGAATGATGTGCAGGAAAACCTGCTGTCCATTACAGTTTTCTTCACTATACCTTCTCCTCCTTAAATCTGGGTAGTCTTCCCTGGAACAGGTGTTGTATATCCTGAAGAATTTTGTGCATGACATTTTGAGCAATAATTCGTAAGAACTAAAGACTGAGGTTTTGAGATAAAAAAAAAAAACTGGGGCCAAAGGGAACTCTGACTATACTTTGAATCATGGTTGGAATGTCTTAGGACACACAGGTTCTAGGAGACACCAAGCTTATTGCCCTCTTGTGTAATGTTGTTCCAGAGCATTTTGTCATGAACAGGAAACCTGCTCTAAATCAACTTCAGCCTTCGTGGGGGGCCTCTTGCAGACACATACACAGCATACATGAACACCAGTCACTCACATGACCATATGCACACACACAGACACACTTCATGCACATACAAATGCACGCCATGCACATGGTCCTCCTCTTGTGTCCTACACTCAGGGACTGCCCTGCCCCAAATTAGATTATGTTCTCTACATAAGTAGAAAACATTTGGAGCATTGAATACATTCTAATTCTGTTCTAATGGTTGGTAGAGCATGCATCCACCCTCCCCACACAATGAGCTCCCTGGTACTGCCTGGTGGATAATTTGCCACACTGTGTTCCAATGTGTTCCAATGGCCTGTTCACCCTGTCCCCACATCTACCACTCTGAGATGTAAACAGTGGATAAGACAGAAAGCATGCCTCTCCCACATAGTTACATAATTATAGCTCTCATGGTCTGGTTGTGGAGTAAAGACATTGGTGTGGTCTCCAGGGAGGAGAAGGAATTTAAGAAGAATATTCTTTGAGAATATTCTTGGCATCTCTGAAGCTGCTTCCATTTCTTTCTTTCAAATCCCCAGTGCCAGAACACCCTATCACTATTTCTACCAGAGTCTTGCAGGAATTGTTTTCTTTTCGTTGCAATACTAGGCATGCTAAGCCAGAGCACTAACACTGAGCTACACTCTTAGCCCCAGTCCTATAGAATTTGAATCAAGGGCCCCAAATGCAGTTTGTAATGTCTTCTAGTCATTTGTAGAATTCAGTCAATCTATTTATTTATAACATCCCAGCTACAACGTTTATCTATGAAGGGCAGAGAACATGTGTTCAAAGTCTTTGTGTCCTCTTCCTTACCAAGCACTAATGCAGAATAAGCATATATTCGATCTTCAAAATGTTTTTTTTTCTTTACTTATAGAGAGAACATGATCCAGTTTGAGGCAGGGCCCACTAGTAGGAAGAGGCCTGAATGTGTCTGAGTGGTCTATGAGCACAGGTCACAAGAGGAAGGCCAACCAAAATGAGTGACCATTATTAAAATAATTGGAAGGTTTTTAGGCCAAGATGACTCAAGAGTTGTGAGTTCTTACTTCAGCAAACTGACAAGTATCTCAGAGTGAATGACCATAGCCTAAGAAAATGAAACTTATATTAACCAACCAGAAACTGCCAACTAACCTTTATTTAGAGACTATTGGCAATGACAAACTAACTTTTAACTGAGGACTTCCCGCTTTAACCAATCAAATTATTTTCCTCTCGTTTCCTGAACATCCAACATATACCTCCTTGGTGGAGCCCTAGGCCACTTGCAGTTTGGCACTGCCTGGTTCATGAACCACTCAAATAAACTCTAAAGTTTCGGTGTGTCTAAGTTTATTTTCTAACCCACAAGTAAAGATGAGCCACCATGGGATGTTGAATCAGGGGTCAGCCTGACTGTGAAACCCAACACAGAAGCTAGCCCCTGGTACGGTGGGAAGGCAGGTGGGGCAAGAGGGGGTGGAGGAGGAAGCTGGGATAAGCTGATGATCTGGTGACATTGGGGTTGGTTCAACAATGATCAAAAGGGACCACACTTAAAAATCCCTGTCCTGCTTGAAATACTGGATGATTCCTCCGGGCCTCCCAGACAAGGTCTAACCTCCTTTGCAAGGCATGCACAATCAGTCTCCACCCATCTTTCAATCTGAATTTCCAGCAACTCCTCAGCCACAAGCCTTGGGTTCCAGCCACATGGATGACTCACCACACCCAAGAAGTGCCAGGGAGTCCTCCTCTAGCACACCTTCCTAAATTGCTTCTGCCTAGAGTGACCAACCCCATGTTCTCTGTCTGGAAAACTCCATTTCTTCCCAGACCTAGATTAGGTGCCCTTTCTTTCACACATCTCTCCCTGGTAGCTCTACCTCTCTGCCACAATGGCATCAGTCCACCTTCCTACCATAGCTCTCCTTATATTGTTCAACCAGAATCATGTGACTAGCCACTAATTTTTCAAGATTTTTTATTTGCGTGGCACTTTTTGTGTACCAGTTGCAGTTCAGGCTACTAGTAATACAAAATTAGACAGAATGTGCCTTCAAAAAAGCACAGTCAGGGCTTGGGTGATGGTGACACAAGTCTGTAATCCCAGCTACTTGAGAGGCAAAGGTAGGTAGATTGTGGTCTGAGGTCAACCCCAGGCAAAAAGCATGGAATCCTATCTGAAAAATAACTGAAGCAAAAAGGGTCTGGGGGTATAAATAAAGTGGTAGAGTACCTGCCCTGAGTTCAAACCCCAGTACCACACAAAAAGCACAATTACAACACATAAGCACGTAGTAACAATGAGTTAGCCAGATGGTAAAGTGTTTGGTGCACAAACAGATCGTGGAGAGGCAACTCAGGGTAAGAATCCCTATGCATTAGAGATGTGAAGCCCACCATGTCTCTTCTGCTTAAAGGCTTCCCCTGGTTCCCATTGCATTCAATATATCAAAGCCCATACTTTGCCATTAAGGCCCCACTAACCCAAACCTGTTAGTCCTGCTCACCTCCTACCCTCCTTGGTTTCCAGGCTCTAATCCCCAGGCCTTCTGCTATTATTTGAACACAACAACTCCTTTCTGTCTCAGGGCTGAAGCATTTGCTGTATTATCCTGGAAGTGGATTTCTGTCTAGATCCTTCCAAGTTCTAGTGCCTTCCTGTCCCTCAGCCTCAGCTCAGAAAAGTCAAAAACACCTCCTCTGATTTCTTTGCTGGTTCAGTTTTTCTCCCACTCAATGATCAGCACCAAGGAAATTTGCTTTGTTCACCTTTCTATTCTCAGATCCTGGAGTGGAATGGAACAGGGGCCAAATAGGTCGGACTTGAACTTGAGCTCCAACTTGTATAGCCAGCCTGACCTTTGGCAGATTATTTCACTTCTCTTAGTTTCCTCATTTGTCAATGGAGATGAGAGCACTTAACTTGCAGGTTGTTCTGAGAGGGAGCACACAATGTTCTCAAAGGTTCTGACCAACAGTTAGAATTCAGAATATGTCAAGAGAAGGCTGAGTAGTTGAGCCCAAAAGGAAGAGTGTCAGCAGCCCACCCCTTCTTCTAAGCCCTGAAAATATGGGTTCTGCTCTTGTTTGAGCCAAGCCACAGATTCTCCATAAAATGGGAAGGGATTGGATTGGGGCTCTGAGGACAAGTGTCAGTTCCAGTTGTAAACTCTTAGCCAAGTTCCAGCCAGTTATTTCCAGTTGTGATGAGTCATCTCAATTCAGGGGCTCCACTGGACCTTGACCACAACATGTCCAGGAGAAGCTGTGGGTAGCCTTCCAAGGAGAACTCAGCAGACTACTTCAAGCCCCTGGCATAGGTGCACTGTGCTTGGGGCCCTGTGTTGCTCTCCATGGTTGCTGTAACAAATTATCACAACTCAATGACTTAAAACCATACAAGTTTATTATTTTACAGTTCTGGAGGTCAGAAGTCTGAAGTGAGTGTCAGGAGAGCTATACTCCTTCTGGAAACTCTGGAGGAGAATTTACTACCTTGCCTTTTCCAGATTCTAGAAACTGCCTGCATTTGTCAGCTGATGCTCCCATTCTCCCTTTCCAAACTTAGCAGCAACACTTCTGGTCTCTTCTGACTTTTGCCTCCTTCTCATGAGGACCCTTGTGATTACATTAGGCCCACGTGGATTACTAGGATAGTTAACTTAATCACATCTACAAAGTCCCTTGTGCTATGTAACCTAATGAATTCACAGATTCTGGGGATTAAGATGTAGACATCATTGACAGGCCATTATTCTGCCTACCACAGAATCTGAGCAGAATGACCTTGGTTTGGGACACCAGGTTGGAACTCAGTCTCCTACCTCCCTACCGACTCTGTTCAAAGTAGAACTCCGTACGGGCTGAGGGTTCACTTTCTTTGGTGAGCCGTATTGGCTGTTGGGGCTCGGCCGGGACACAGAGGAACCAGCCAGGGCAGGCAGCGGCCTCCAGCCTGAAGGCAGAGCCCAAGCTGCTCTGGAAGAAGGTGAAGCGTGTGGCCTGTTCACCTCCCTTATACAGGTCCTCGATGTTCACATCCTGTGGGGGTAAGGGAGCCAGCTGTATGATAAGCATGCTGATTGGATGTCAGCCCCACAGGCCTCCCGGGCTTTGCTAAGGAGGAACTCACAAGACAAGGCTTTATTCAGGGATGTGAATAAATCTTCTGCAGATTCTAAAAGGCAAGGGCTTCATTGCTGGATGCAAAGGGAAAACTGAAGGAGAGGGACATGTGGCCCTGGATAGGAACCCACAGATGGGCACAAAGATGCCAGAGTATTCTGGGAGACAGACTAGGTCTTCAGTGTTCCCCAGAATGAGGAAGGGTCTCTCACCTCCAGTTGCAGAGAAGGCCCCTCTCCTGTCTCCACACATGCCAGACAGCGACTCCCTCCCTGGATCCCCAGGAAGATGGGGACCTTGGTGCGGTCTAGACCTCTGTTAGGAAGTATGCAGATCTTCTCTGGGAAGGAAGAGGGAAGACAAGCAGGAGATGAGGGGACCCCAGACTGCAGGCTCTCAGTAAGTGAAGATCCAGCAAGAAGGAATCGGTACCAAGCATACCTGGCCTGGCCCCTACATGAGGCTGCAGAGCATGTGTGACTCCACAGGGATCAGACCCTCCCACTAGGACAGGCCAAAGCCTCCTGCCTCTTCTCACTGTCACAGGGGCAGCTGCTGACACTTTGGTGGGGATGAGAGAGTAGAAGAGAAGCAAGGGTCTGTGATAAACAGTGTGGGGTAAATCCCAGCAGGGGAGCACCCAGAAGCTCACCTGCACGACAGTTGTCTGTATCAGGATCTCCCACCAGCAGCTGGCCATCTCTTATGTACAGAGCCTTCTGATCCACATCTTTGATTCTGGAACAGGACGGCAGTGCTTATGGCCCCCTGCTTTTTAGCACCATTGGAGCCACCAAGTACCTAGCCCCCTATGCTTTGAATCACCACGCTGAGCCTTTGGGGAATTCTCCCTTCCACAGGTGAGGAGAAAAACACCACTCCACCAAGAGCAGGTCTGTCTCAGAAGAAAGAGCAGGCTTCCAAGGCTTATGATTTTCAGAGGCTCAGAGGAATTAGGGATTGAGTGTATAACTGATGAAGAGCTAAGGAAAGTTTTCAGGACTGATAAGCTTCCTATGAGGCCCGGGTGTCTCTAGATATAATGGGCCTTATTTTATGGGTCGGTATTATTTTTTTGTAGATGATTACTGAACTCAATAAAGGAATTGAAGAGCAAGAATTGACAAATGTGATCATAGCAAGTCAAAAAGCTTCTGTAATAAAAAAGAAGAAATGACCAGAGAGGGACAGAATCCACAGAATTAGAGATCTTCACAAGCTTTTCATCAGACAAATGATTAATATCCAGAATATACAAAGAGCTCAAAAAATTAAACACTAAAACAACAAATAATCTAATTAATAAAGGGGCAAATTAAGCATAGTTCTCAAAAGAAGAGGTACACTGGCTAATAAATAATGAAGAAATATTTAATACTCTTATCCATAAATGAAATGCAAATCAAAATGACACTGAAATTCCATCTTACTACACTCAGAATCTCAATCATCAAGAAAATAAACAATAACAAATGCTGGTGAGGATATGGGGAAAAAGGAATCTTATAAATTGTTGATGGGAATATAAATTAGTGCAACTACTATGGCAATCAGTATGGAAGCTCCTCAAAAAAAAAAAAAACTACAGATAGAACTGGCATATGATCCTGCTATACCACTCTTGGGCATATATCCAAAGGAATATAAGTCAGCATACAATAAAAATACCTGCATGCCCATGTTTATCACAGCAATATTCACAACAGCTAAACTATGGAGTCAGCCTAGGTGCCCAACAACCCATGAATAGATAAAGAAAATACAGTACATATACACAATGGAGTACTATTCAACCATAAAGAAGAATGGAATTAGGTCGTTTGCAAGAAAATGGATGGAACTGAAGATGATCGTGTTGAGTAAGATAAGCCAAGCTCAGAAAGATAGAATGTCTCATGTTTTCACTTATATGCAGAATCTAGACCAAAACTGATGATGATGATTATGATGACGGGCAAGAGTATAAAAGGAGGACACCTGGGGATCAGTGGGAGGGATAAGGGGGGAAGAAGAGGGTAATGAAGGTGACATATGGTCAAAGTAAACTATGTATGAAAATAGCAAAATGAAACCCAGTAAAAGTGTTAGTAGTGGGGAGGAGAGAGGGAGGTTAAGAGGGGTTAGACAGGGTGAATTTGATAATAGTATATTATAAGCATGTCTGTAAATATCACAATGAAACCCCTTTGGAAAATTAACTTGTGCTGATAACTAAAAAAGATAAGTAAAGGACCTGGCACCAGTGGCTCATGCCTGCAATCATAGCTACTCAGGAGGCAGAGATTAGGAGGATTGTGGTTCAAAGCCAGCCCAAGCAAATAGTTTATGAAACCCTATCTCATAAAAAACACAAAAAAAGGGCTGGTGGAGTGGCTCAATATCTAAGCCCTGAGTCAAGTTCCAGCACTAAAAAAAAAATGTAAAGGGATTGAATGTATAATAAAGTGTGATTCACTTTTTAGATATTTTTAAGACTTTTTGTCAGAGAAAATCCACAAATCTATAAGTCAGAAAAAAAAATCAATGTTACATTAACTTTCCAACATGACTACCAACCCCTGCCTCTGGCCAGGGTGAGGTGTGCTTTGGGTGGACTAAATACAGGAAGTCTGCAGAGCACTGCAACAGGGCCTGATTACAGTCATTTAGGGATGGTTATGGTTCTAATGACCAGCCTGGGAGGGTAAGTATGCACTATGAGGAGCTGGGAAGAAACCCTGGTGAGCATGTGGAACATCAAAGTCATGTAGGTTATTACCCCAGTTGCCTGGCTGGTTTCAAAAATACCCATCAACTGCTCTGAGAGCCTGGGGAGCTCTCTAATACCCTTGTAGGCAGAACCTCTGGACCAACACCACCACTTGTGGATTTTTCTTCCTCTGCAATAGCTACTTATAATACTTTAGCTAATGGCAGCACGCTTAAAGCAGGCTCACTTGTACAATAAAAACAGCGGTCTGAAAAGACCCTGGGCTTGCCAGTTGGCATTGTCTTTCAAACCTTGACAACCAGGTTGTTTTCTGCCAGCAGCCGAAAACCAGTAACTGTAACAAAGGATGTAAATCTCTAGTGAGGCCAAATGCAAGTAAGAGTTGGAAGTCCAGACTGGAAGTAATGGTCACAGAGGCCTCCATTAAAATGCTGTTGTTGCATTATCAAAAACAGGTCACACCAAGGGAAGGTCACATACAAGAGGGGGAGGGTAAAAGAAGGAAGTTAAGAAGATGAATATGGTTGATGTACCCTCTATACAAGAATGACTATAGAATTTTTGAACCTGTTGAAACCACCATGAGAAAAGAAGTTAGAAAGAAGAAAAATAGAAATGAACCAATTCGGGCTAATATATATAATACATATATATATATGTATTTTTATATATATGTGTGTATATACATACATATATATAGGAGTGCCACAAAGAAACTTCCTATATAGCTATCTTAAACAAGCAAAAATGTCACATTTTTTTTCTTTTACAAAATTGGAGAACAGGAGGGCAGAACAGGAGGGGTAGGGACCCGTGGGAGAGGAGAGGAGGTGAGGAAAGGATGTAGGAGGTGAATATAGTGTACATATGTATACAAATAGTAAAAATGATGCTGGTTGAAACTATTCCAGGCATGGGGGGAGGAGGGATAAAGAAGAATGGTGGAGGGGTGAATTCAAGTATGATTTATTTGATACATTGTAAAATCTTTTGTAAATGCCACAATGTAACCCCACCCAGCACAACAAAAAAATAAATAAATAAAATGCTGTCACTGTGATTCTGGATGATCTCTGAGCCTTCAGAGAGAGGTCCATGCAGCAGCCAGAAGACATGGAGTCTGATCCTGAGCTCTGCCTTTGGGTAACTGGGTGACATGGAAGAAGTTATGTAAGTTCTTTGAACTCAGCTTCCAGCTCTGTTAAACAGAGTTACAAAAACTCCCCTTACAGATTTTTTCAGATAGAGGTGAGGCAGTGGAATGGCTGGCATCATGCAGACACTCAGAACTCAGGAAAGACAGCTGTTGTCATTGTGGTGAATGAAGTGTAATTATGGGGCACTTGAGATTTCTATGGTAAGAAGGAGTCTCATCTCTCTGACTCAAACTTCCTTCCCTCTTCCCATGTAATCCCCAGGGCCCCTGGCTGGGAAAGATAGGGACACACCAGGATGACTTACATGTAGTATCTTGCCATGGGGAGGGAACACATTCCTGCAATCAGATGTCTGGTCCTCACTAAGGGGGAGAAGAGAAGTGCTGTTAAAGAAAGATGGTAGATGAAACAGGGGCAAGACACATTAGGGGTCAGAATCATCCAATTATAGGCTGCAAAAGCCACTTACCTATAACAGGGCTGCCAGGATCCACCAAGGTCTCCCCCAGCCTATCAGCTCCAGGCAGCTCTGCCTTTCCCTCATTTGGGAACAAGCGGAACTGGCAGGGGAGTGAGCCTGGTACATGTGCTGGTGCTAGCTCTGGCAAATCAGAGAACAGGTTCCCCCAGTAGCTTAGCCAGGACACTTCCCTTGCTGAGAGTCAGGTAGGATGTGCTCTAGCCCCAAGTTTGAGGGTGAGCCTGGAGCAGATCCAGTCCTACTTCCCAGTGCAGTTGGAAGGTTGCTGCACTCTCACCACCCCCTCCCTAAAAAGGGTTTGGATACCCAGAGCCCAGAGCAGAGGGAAAAGCAGCATGGTTAGGAGGAATGTCCAGTTGCAGCAGGAGAAGGCAGGGTCCCACTGGAGAGTTAGGAAGCATCATTCCCAGACACTGGAATTGCCTTACCAAGACTTTAAAGAGAGCCTACCCCAATCCCCTGCTCTGATCCAGGTTGAAAACAGGCTTGAGATTCAGAGACTTGTGATTTTGAAGGTGAACAATCTAGAGTGAATAAAGTGACTTCATATAAGCCTCAGGCTACACAGCTTCACAAAATTCTGTTCCTCCCTGGTGGATGATCCTACCTGAAAGCTCTTCCCTGAAATGACCACCCCTCAAAAGGCCTGATCCAGATTCTAGCATGGAAAGAAACCCAGAGCCAGAGTCAGAAAACAATCCCAAAGAGTAAATGCAAGGATTACTAGGGCTGATGTTTACTGAGTAGATCTGATTCTCATCAACTAAGAAGGGGAAAGAAAAGAAAAATACTAAGAAAGCAGAAAATGAGACAGGAAAGAATAAAGGAAGGTGGGAAGAAAGGAGTAGAGCTCAGAGAGAGGTAGAATGATACCGATGGGAGGCAGGCAAGGAGGAACAGGCTGATACTGAGGCCAGGAATTCAGACCATCTCAGCATCACTGAACCCCATAGCTCTGGTGTTAGAAGAAATAGGGCTGTAGCAGCCAATGAGGCTTTTAGTACTGGATCTATCTGCACTGTCACCTTGAACAAGTCATTTTCAATCCTTGGGCCTTAATGTGAGTTCAAGAGTTGTTGAGAGTAAAGGGTAACAGAATATAGTTAAGGGTGCAAATTCTGATGGATTCAGTGTTATAAATCAGCCTTAAAGCATTCCACATACTCCAGGATTATATGTATTGCCCTTATTCCAGGGGCCATAATGGATCGTTCAGATGTTTAGTTATAAAGAGGTTCACCGTATTAACTTTTTGTTTTTTGTTTTTTTTTTTTACGATATTGAGAAGTTGGAAATAACCTAAAGTCTAACAATAGACAATTAGTTAAAAAATATGACAAGTCCAGTAAATAACAAGTATGTGTATATTAAAGATAATATTTTGGAAGAACATTTTATGACAAAAAATTTCCAAATATATTAAGTAAAAAATGAAAGTTATGATTAATATATAAATTGCAATCTCATTTAAATCCACAGACATATAGAGGCTCTCACACACACACACATAGAAACAAAGACTGCCAGGGTTGGTATATCTGACAGTACTATGTTTTTTTTTTAATATCTCGACACTTTTCCTATAATGAACATGAGTTTCCTTTATAACTTTAGTTTTTAAAAAAACAAAGTGTTCAGTTAAAGTCACCAGATCCTAAGTGTGCCTGTCTATCCAAATCATCTGGGGCACTCGACAAATATTACTTCCTAGGCTAAAAGTTATTCTTCAGTAGGGATTAAGGTGATTCCGCTGATGAGCCAAGCTTGGAAAGCAGTATGCTAGCTCAGTTCTTCTCATCTTTAGCACATATAAATCTCTGGTATCTCTTGTTAAAATACAGATTCTACTTCCTGGGTCTGGGGTGGAGCCCGAGACTCTGCATTTCAAACATGCATCCAGGTGATGTTAACATTGCTGGCTCCTGGACCACACTTTGAATTATAAAGGAGTAGCTGATCCCCCAGCCCAGATAATCCAACAGCAACATAGACTCCATGCAAATCCAATTGATGGCTTGCTCCTTCTTCACCAGACTACTATGGCTCTTTTGGTTGTGGAAGCAGAAGTATATGCAGCCAGGTAGCTGTGCTGAGAACCAGGAAGGGCAGACCCAGTGGAGAACCGGATATGAAGATGAACATACAGGCTGATGTTTCTTATTCATGGTCAGTGTCAGTTCAAAGAGCTGAAGGAAATTCAGTGGTGGTCTAATCTATCTGGATCCTCTGAGTTCTAGAACCTTCCAATCCTGGCAAAGCCCAACATCCCAGTGTCTCCTACAGACTCTCACATCAGTCCCCCTCTGCCTGAGTTCTGGCTAGATTGTGATAGAATGAGTAAGAATGAGACTCTGGCTTCTACTCCAGCAGATCCAGGGATCCCAATGCTAAGATTCTACCAAGGTCCTTCTCAATGTGCCACACACTCCACCCAGTGCTTTCTCTTCCCTGTTGGCCCCCAATGACTTTCCACGGAACCTCAGCCCATATCCCTCTTTTCTTCCTCCCACTTCTCCCCAGACATGGTCTCTTGCTGTCTCAGATCTCTCCAATTCTCCTGTCCTTAATCAAATACTATAGACAAAGCCCTGGGCTCACTCCATGTTCTTCTGCACATCACACATGTCCTCTCCTATCCTTGTTCTCCTACACATTTTCTATGTGGGGGTTGCTGCTCTCTCCAAGATCAGTACGAACTCCCATGGAGCTGAGTCCAAAGACTCCAGGGACCAGCTATTTGGTCACTGCCTTCTCAGAACCCTTGACATTGATTGGCTGCTCTCACATTGCTTCTTCTCCCTGTATCAGACCCATTATAAATTTTGTCTTCTTTTATGGCTGTCCCTAAGACTGAGAATCACAAGAAAATGTCCTAAGCACTTTAATTTCATACCTGATGAAATTGCAATTTATTAGTTTCTACAACTGCAATGACCATCTTGGTCTTATGCCTCCAAGATTCAGACTGAACATCCTTCTTTATTTCCAGCAGTCTACTAGACATCCCCCTTTGCATGTTCTGCTATCACACTCAACCAAATACATCTGAGGTCAAGTTAACTATGTTTTCCTTCTCCTGGTCCACTTATCCCTCTCAATTCCATTTCTCTCACCTCTATAACATTCCTCTCACCAGCAAATTTCAAAACCTGAGAAGTATTGAAAATACTGCCCATTTCTCCTCACTTTGTGTCTGCCTCATCAACAAACCCTGAAGATTATTCCTTTAAAATATAAACTTCATGCTTTTAGTCACCATTGCAACTGTGTTGGTATTCCTGACTTGTCTAATCTTTGATCCAACCCAATCTATGTGAGGTACCTGGAACTCATTTTCTAAGTACTTCTTTCACCACTTTCTTGCCCAGCTCTAGAATCTACAGTGGTTATTCATTTCAACACCACATGGCCCTGATTTTCTTGTATGACAGTATCTTACTTCTCTGTGGACATTAAATCACTTCTCTAAGCAACATGACTTCTTTATCGTCTTCTCAATGGGCATACTCAGCATTGTCTTTAATTTCCCTTAACAGTCATCCCTCCTTGTAACTGTCCATGCAGATCTCTCAGTATTAAGATCATTGGACATGGCATCAACATATATGGGTTTAGTATCTAGTTCTGTCCAGTTACTCATAATCCCAGAGCAAGAACTCAAACATACAAATTCATATCACTCATCTGCCAACCCTCAGGTTCATCATCTGTAAATTCATGGAATTAGATTACATGGTTGTTAAGGTTCTTTTGAGGTCAAACAATTTATGATTCCATTACTCAGAGTTTAATAAATCCTTTACTACTCTAACCCTACTGTGAACATCTATTAAATTTTTCTGTATTGCTTATTGTTGTACACTAAGATAATTGTTTCCCTTATAAAAGTTGATAAACCTTGAAATCATGAAACATGGCATACAGCTCACTTGAAGCTCTAACCACACTAACTGTCACACATAGGAACTTATGAACACAGAAACATACACAGAAAGCTTCAAATACAAGTCTGGATTCTATACCTAGATCTGCTACCAATTCACCTTGCTTCCTTTCATCCCTGGTCCTCCAATTTATCCCCATTGGAATGAGAGTTCTGCCCAATCTATTAGTTTTTCAAAACTGTTTTAAGTTTCACAGTGAGAAACTTAAAACTTAAACACTTAAAACACAGTGTGTTTTAAGTTACACAGAAGCCCAGTGAATGTACAATGGATAAAGAGTACCTGCTTTTGCTTCACAGGGAGTGATGGAGCCCTTAGAACCCTGTTGGTGTTCCTCTTGGCTATGAGCAGGCCCGGAGCATCACTAAGGAACTCCTAGGCATCACCAAACACTGTCTGAATACTGCTGGTTTCTTCTGAGATGACTTTCTAAAGTCTGTAGTTCTAAATACTTAAAAATCTTTGATTTGACTTAACTCATACTTCTCCTCAAATTCCACCATGTGTTCCTAGTGATCACCCCACCATGTTCTATGAAAGGATTTTCTTATTGCCTAAAGAGCTTGCCAGGAGAAGTTAAAAAAGATGGCATTTCAGAGACATTGGCTGTGCTGGGGATATAGCTCAGTGGTAGAGCACTTGCCTAGCATGCTCAAGGCCCTTGGTTTGATCCCCAACACCACAGAAAAGAGACATTGACAGAAAAAAGAAGGAGGAGGAGGAGGAGGCTATGGAGGATAGGGATAAGGAGGAAAAGGAGAGAAGACTGCTTTTCTACCACTGACCTGCAAATCCTGGGTGCCTGGAACTCTGATACCTGGAAACTCCAACTGATTTCTCCAGGGCATCTGCACTGTTTTATATTGTCTGGTCAGTGTAGGTCAGGCCTGCAGCAATCACTTTAATTGGCTCCAGGTCAGGGAGGAAGAAGAGTCTAGAGATTTCATAATGTTTTCAACACAGTGTGGATAATAAGAAGGTGGAGAGATTAATGGGTGTTTGTTGAAGGGAGAGAGAGTCACCCATAAAGCCTTGGCAGAGGTCAGGCACTGAGCCCCATTCTGTAGCTACTGTCATTGACTATGTTATTAGTGGTTTGGCAGTCAGATAAACAATACTATGGTCAGACATCTTTGATGCTTTGAGGCTGAGAGAGGAGGTGAATGTGAGAGAGTGTAAGTCTGAAAAAGCCAAGGACAGAACCAGGCTTGTAACATTCTGAGTGTGATCCTGTTTGGAAAGATGATTTTCAATAGGTTTGATTGAACAGGTTTAATTGGTTGGTACTAGCTTGATGAAACAGAAAAGGAAATGCAGCTGTAAAAGATATTGACCTTAGATTTACCTTGGGACTGGGCAGGTGCCAAATGCCCTGCTCTACTAAGAAAAACATCAGTATAAGCAAGGCAGGACTAATGGACACTTAGTTCTCTAATTGATTTTACTTAACTCAGTTGGTCTGTCCATCCATTTGTCCATTAATAGATACATCCATTCACCCATCCAATTATCCATACATATGATCATGTGCTTATTCATCTACGCATCTACTCATCTCTCATCCTGTCTGTCCATCCATCCATCTGTCCACCCATCCATCCACCAACCCAAGGGGCAAAGAATTGGACATAATGGTCTCTGGAGACAAATAGCTTTATTGTAATTCTTCATTCCAGGCCCACAAAGGTTTGTAAGGTTCCAGAAAGTTTGATGAAGAAGTGGGACCAGCCTGATCCCACTGAAGAAGTGGGACCAGATGCCCACAGGATGAGAAATGAGAAAAGGGACAGGAACAAGATAAGATTTTTGCTTCCTGATCATTCTTCACCTCTTTTCTCAATATCTCACCACTCTGTGTGAAGGGTCAAAGTGTGAGGTGTTATATTGGACAATTAATGAGTGTATGTACCAAGAATTTACATTATTGTGTGACAAAGACATACAGTATAAGGTTTATGCTATTAAATAGCTTAGCTCCCCAGCTGGAACTAAGTCATAAGCAGTTGAAAGATAACCTAAAAGACCATACTCTCTAAGCTGAGGGCATGCTGGAGATAATAGTAGAAAAACTCCTTGAATGGAAAAAAAACCTCTTATCATAAAATTACTTTAGACATAATATCAGAGTGTCCCTCCAAATAGAGAAATTTGTGCTATGGCATTCCTGGGAAACAGGTTGATCAGGCTCTTCCTCAACAACTCCAAGGTCAGGGACCTCACAGCCTCTTAAAGAAGCACTAATGGTGTATATGGTCTTTGTGGTTAGGATTTTTGAGTCATTCAGGAAAAAATAGCTTCCACATAATTTGTACCCATTAGTTCTAGTTGTGTTTCCTGGAATTGCAAAGAACAAGTATATATATATATATATATTGGCAGTACTAGGGTTTGAACTCAGGGCTTCACACTTGATAAGCAGGTACTCTACAGCTTGAGCGCGATGCCTCCGAGCCCTTTGTACTCTGTTTTTTTTTTTTTTCAATTGAGTCTTACATTTTGCCTATGCAGCCTGAACCACAGTCCTATTTCTGCTTCCTGCAGTAGCTGGAATGACAAGCATGCACCAACACACCCAGTTTTTTTTCTGTTGAGATAGGGGTCTCACAATTTTTTTTTGGTCCAGGTTGGCCTGGAATCACCATTCTCCCAATCTCTGCCTCCTGAGTAGCTAGGATTGCAGGTGTGAACTACTAGTGCCTGGTTGAGAATAAATATGTTCAACTTGGCAGATCTTTTATTGTTTTAAGGGGCTCCCTATGTTTTATTTCTTCAAGATACAGATCCTTAGTCCCTTTGTCTCTTCCCCTATGACCTGGTCTTGGATTTCTCTGCCTTTCAATATTTGTAATTGGCACAAACCTCACATGGTATGGACATTGCACCAGGCCTATGGTTTATATCAAAATTGCAGAAATCACTAGGGTGTCTTCTCTTGAATAACCATGATGCCAGTCTTTAAGCACAAACATTCCCAGAAGTAATAAAGTAATATTTATATTCCTCCCTTTCCTGCTGACTTATGTCAGTTTACCTGGGCTAAAGCCCTTTTGAGTTCTGTTGCCCACAAATGATGAAGAAATCACTTTGGGCTGGAGAAATTCTCAAGAATGAGGTGGAATTGGAACTGCTCCAATAGGGTTTAGATGAATGGAGGAGACAGAATGTTGCAGAGTGTGGACAAAGAGTTTCCACATTCTATATTCACAAGGTTCCAATTATTTGCCAAGTATTATGCTAGTCAGTAATACACTGTTGTAGCCCCAACCTTGAGGTCATCCCAAGGCCAGAGAAGACTTCAAGCCAGCTCCCTACAAGGTACAGGGAGGTGTGCAGAAAGCATTGCCAGAGCTGAAGTCCAGGGATCTCAATTCAGCAAAGGCTTCTTGGAAGAGGCAACATCTTAGCAAAGTATTGAAAATGAGTGATTTCCATAAGCACAGAGAACAGGTGAAGAGTCACAAAGCAGAGGGTACACATCATAAGACTGAGTCTGGGCCTGTAGACAGAGAAAGAGTGTGCATGGGGTTGCGGGTGGTGCACAGAAGCACAGCCTGGAATCTGGGGCCCATGTTCTCAGCAGCCCTGAGATGCCTGTGATACGAGCTGTGGTACTTGTTGCCTGGGGACCTCAGCTGCATTTAAGTTGGAGCTCCTAGAGCCTATGAAGGCCATCCCTTCTGTACTGACCACCCTGCTGGTCTCTGCAAATTCCAAACCTGCTAGGCTAGTCTAACAAGTGAGTTGCAGGAAGAATACCTGAGGCTCAGATATGTACCCTCCTCTGGCGTCTGCTCTCAGTTCCAGGAGTTAGATAGGGGATTGGAAATAGACTCTGACATGTAGGAGTTAGAGGAGCACAAATAGACAACGATGATCTAAACCTTGTGGAAGCAGAGAAAATTCAACAAATATAGCATGATCTGCTTTTAAATAAAGTATTTGGGTCAATAAAAGGCTAGTATTCATTTTGAAAATGAAACTATCAGAGAAAACTGCAATCATAAAATAAATGTATACATTTCACTTTCCTTGAGTATTACTTACCACTGCATAACAAGTAACCTGGCAACAACATATATTGATGAGCTCACATGCTTTTGGAGGGGCAGGAATTTGGAGCACCTTGGCTGGATGGTTCTGTTTCAGTCTCTCATGAGGCTGCAGTCGCTGAAGTCCTGACAGGGCTGGAGGACCTGCTGTTGGCAGGTGACTATAGTTTTCACCACATGAGTCTTTCTATGGGGCTGGCTTCCCCCAGTGTGTGGGAGGGTGGGGAGAGGGAGAGGGAGAAGGAGAGGGAGAGGGAGAAGGAGAGGGAGAGAGAGAAGGAGAGGGAGAGGGAGAGGGATCCTGAATCCCTCAGGATGATAGGGACCTCATCGTCTTTTATTACCTACTCTTGGAAGTGGCATCAAATTCTGCCATATTCCACTGGTCCGAAGATGTCTGGCACTGAGTAGGAGGGATTTCATACAGAAGACTGAAGACCAGGAGGTGGGATCATTAGCAGCTGCATTAATTTCCTAGGGCTGCTGTAGCCAATTACCATACATTTAGTGACTTTAAATGACAAAAATGTATTCTCATCACTCAGGAGGTGGAAGTTTGACATCAAAGTGTCAGTGGGGCTATCTTCCCTCTGAAGGCCCTATGGAAAACTCCATCCTCATCTCTGTGATTGACACAGCCCTTGGCATTCCTTGGCTTGTGGCAGTGTACGCATATCTCCAATCTCTGCCCCTGCCTTCACATAGCTTTCTTACATGTGCCTCCTCTGTGTCCTCTTTTTCAAAGGACACTAGTCATATGGGATTTAGTTCATCCTAACCCAGCATGGCCCTGCCTTAACTCATTGCATCTGCAAAGTAAAGTCACAGTGTGAGGTTCTAGGACATGAATTTGGAAAGGACACTACTCAGTCAATACAGCAGGTCTCTCAGAAGCTGGATCTTACACCTTGTAATCCCAGGGGCTGTGGCCCTGCCAGATCAAAGCCCAGGATGCATCATTATTAATTATCATCATCATCATCATTATTTTTGTGGGTTTTTCTCTTGTTGTTGTTTTGGATTTTTTTCTATCAATCTCTTTCCCAGGAGATTCCAGTCACACAAACTCATCACATCCTCCTTCTTGGTATCTTTGCTGGCATTTGTTTTCTGATTCCTGCTTCTGTTGCCCAAAGCAGCCAAGCTCAGTTCACTTTGGATTTCACTCTACAGAAGTACAGGCTGATGACAGTCAGAAACAGTGTCTATTCTGCTTACTCCAAGATTAATTTATTTTACTATTACATAAGTTATCCATATTAATTATAGAACAATGAAGAAATACAGATAAATAAAAAAATCACTTGTACTGTCACTACCTAATCATTGCTATAATTGGTGTAAACTCCTCCAGACTTTTTAAAATCAAAGATATATAGATAGTTTTAAAAATTAAAATTAAATTGCAAAATATGTTACTTTATCACATGCTCTTCTTATTTAATGTGTCATAAGCATCTTTCCATATCATTAGAGACCAGCATCAGGGATTTTTATTATGCCTGAAATTTCAAAACAGAATGGCATTCCTGTCCATCTCTGTCTTCTCAGCTGAAACTGTTTCTTCTAATATCCCTGCCTCCTCATGCCAGGGCCAGAGGCTGAGGGCAGAGATGAAAGAAGCAATAGATGATAATAGCCAATTAAATAAAAGAAAGCACAGCCAAACCAGCCAAGGATCTTGATGTCTACTGCTATGACACTTCTTTCACACACAATGGCAATGACAGCATCTCCAGTGGGAATCTGGGCCACTATGTCAGGTACCATGAAGCATAAGGGATTTCTATCACTCTTCCACTCCTTAGAAAACTTTTATATTGCTCCCAGTTTGTAAATTGTGGTCTTTACAAGATTCCACTCCAATAGCACCCAGCAGAAGGAATCTCTGTACTGAGTTCCAAATCTCAGAATTTACTCAAACTGGAGGCCAGAAGAGAGAGTAGCCATGTGCCCCATAAGTCAGAAGTGTCCTGAGAGCAGAGGGGAATCATTGCCCATTGTGGTGCTCCTCCTCCACTTTCTGCCCAAGTTGACTCTGCTCAGTTCTGCAGGTGGGGCACACTTCCCTAGTCACACTGCTGGAAGTAGAAGTCTGTAATCGGTGCATCCCAGGGGGTGTCCTCCTGGATCTGGGTGAGCCTCACAGGCTGGTCAGCTTCAGGCACAGTGCAAAGAAACCAGCCAGGATAGGCAGCTGACTCGAAGCTGGAGGTGAATCCCATGTCCCGCCGGTAGAAGGTGAAGTTCTTGGATTCCTTGGCACCAAGGTAGAGTTCCATGATGTTCACTGGCTGCCAGTAAAGCGGCAGGGTGGGTGAGAGACAGAAGTAGGGGCAGTGGGAGGGCTGGGTTGGGCAAGGGAAGAGCCCTCAGGGAGGAGGCAAAGCTGTGATCCACAGTGCCTGAAATGGCATCACCAAGGTGCCCAGGCACCGAACCCCCAACCACAATTTGCTCAGTATCTGTTGTCTTAGTCACAGATAGTGAGGATGCCACAATAGACTCACCTCTAGTTTCAAAATGGGTTCCTTCTCTGTCCCACAGGACAAGCACTGGCTTCCTCCCTGGACACCCAAGATAACTGGGGATAGCTTGGCATCCAGTGATCGATTGGGAACAACGCTGATCTTCTCACCTACAGAAAAGAGATAAGGTACTGAGACTTGGCTACCCTTCTGTCCACTCTCCTCCAACCCTGGATTCTGGATAATGGTATCCTGCCAACTGGCTGGACAGAAAAGAAGTCTCTCAGCAGCTATCACATGGGGAAGGGTGGTCTCCTGACCCAGAGTGGACATCAAGACACAAAAACACATTGTACCACCTCTCACCCTAGCCCTCATTCAGAACCAAATCTTCAAGTTTTCTGTAAACCTCAAGAGACTACCTCTCTAACTGCCTAATTGAATCCCTTGATTCCTAGACTTCTTTTCTGTAACTTGTCTTGATGAGCCTCCCTTTAGAGTTGTTTGGACATCTTTGCACTCCTGTGAGATTCTTGTGAGCAGAAGAGGATCTCATTCCTCTGTATATCCCTCTATCATCACACACACACAGACATGCACACACATATTGCATATGTGAATGCATATGCACACAGATACATGCACATATATGCACACATAACCATAACTAATGTATGAACACACATATATATATACACATGAATGCACATACACATACATGGAATTTGTACACAAGTGTATGCATACATGCACACATTTATACAGATATATACACATGACCATACCATGTTCACATGCCTATGCATACATATATACACATTTAATATTCACTTTCATACCAGCCCATATACATAGATGCTCACACAACACAGCAGAGGGATATGCCTGGCTCTGGTGCTCCATAAGAATGCCTAGGTGTGCAGATATGCACTGTTGTAGAAAGACCTGTCAAACTATGTGGACATAGTGAGCAAGCATGAGGCTCAATGGTGCCATCTGCTGTCTGGATGCCCAAGGACCCAAGGAGAGCAAGGAGTCCCAAAGTGGAGAGGCTGAACTCACCCATATGGGCATAAGGGCAGATAGCCTGCTTCAGTCATTGCCTCGGTCTGGCTTCCAGGAAAGTACATATCAAACATAGTCTACCTTTGAATGGCAAGCCACTTGTCCTGGGAAATATTCCAGCTCTACACAAAGGCTTTAGGTGGCCCCAGGGCCTAGGTCTGCTTTGCTGGGAGCCTTGTTTATGGCACCCTCTGATGCCATAAACATGCCATCTGATGTGGCATGCCTGGGCTACAGACCTGGGCTGATTTACATAGCTGCTTGAAAGATCTTCTGGCCCTTCCCCATAGAGGGTAAAGAGACCTGGGAACCATGGAATCATGTTCTGTCACCAACATTTTTTTTTATTGTTGTTGTACTGGGGATACATTGTGACATTTACCAAAGTTCTTACAATATATCAAAGTTGAACTTATCCCCTCTATTGTTCTCCTTTATCCCTCCTTCCCCCACTCCTGGCATAGTTTCAACAGGTCTCATTTTGCCATTTTCATACATGAGTACATAATATTTCTACCATATTAAACCTCCTACACCCTTTCTTTATATCCCTTCTCCACTGGTGCCAATCCCCAGACAGGACCTGTTTACCTTCCTGTTCTCCATTTTTTAAAAACAGACATTTTTATTTGCATAAGATACATGGAGTTTCATTGTGTCACCAACCTTTAATGACCTTCCCTGCATGTATCCCTCCGGCTAGAAGCTGGTTATCATGAAGATAAAGCACTTTCAAGGCTGAATCTTTCATTCTGAAACACCAGGAAGGAATAAGACTCTGTTAGAGGAGGGGTGGGTCCTACAGCTTGTCCTGGCTTCAGAGACTCCCCCAATCTCAGGCATCTTGTCTCCCTCTCTTCTCACTGTGCCAAATGTAACAGCCCAACCTTCCCTCTTTGCTATGCCAACTCTTGCCCTACCAATGGACAATCTTTTCTACCCCAACTGATCTCTTCTCTGTGTTCTGTTACAAGAGAAACAGGACTCTGAGTTGGAGCCTGGGGCTCTGCCATCATTGCTACAGAGTCACAAAAGACAAGTCACTTAAGATCTCTGAACCTGGGTCTCCTTATTACTAGACTAGATGGTAAGTTAGATAGTACCCAGACCTCTTCCTAATTAAAATTTGATTCTCCAATTATTATTGAAGATTTCAAGGTACTTTTACTCCTACCTGGCCACATATTCCAACGTAAGTGAGTCATTTCTTTAAATTAAAATTTTTATTTTACTTTTCAAAGGTATTTCTCATGAATAATCTCAGTTGATTATCTAGCATTTTGTGGGGTAAAACATGTATCCTAAAGTAGGTTTCTCCAGGCATCACATGGGGGAACTATCAGCAGTGTAAAAATGGGTTTGATGTTTGACCAAACACGATTTACATTGCTTATAAGTCACAGGTATGCTGAGCTGTGCTGTGGACCTCTTACAAGAGGACACAGAAAGCTGCATTTCTCTTCACTCCATTAGAGGACTCCACTGTACAAAGCAGGTTGTGGGACTGAGTCCCATAGAACACAATTTGGAGAATGCTGCATAGTCTCCCTTGTTATCCACAAGAAATTGGTTCCAGGATTCCAGCAGATAGCAAAACCTGCAGGCACTCAAGTCCCTGATAATATAATCTGTACACCACCTCCTGTATACTTTAAACCATCTCTATATTGCTTAAAATATGTAACATCATGCAAATACTATGTAAATAGTTGTTATGCTGTATTTTAAAGTAATAATAACAAGAAAAAGTCTGTACATGTTCAGTACAGATGAAATTTTTTAGATATTTTTGATCCAATTAAAATATTTTCAAACCAGATTCCAGTTAAATCTGTGGATGCAGAAACCCAGGTATAGAAGTCTATCTGTACTAGACTGAGTTCAATGAGAGAAAGGACTATTTTCATCCGCCACTGTAAAGTTTGGGGCAGATCAGAGCGCCTGACTCGGTACATACTAATGGATGGACAGCTGGGCAGACTAGTGCTTTTGTTTTACTTTCCCCCAAAAGGACAGTTAGGAGGAAGTGGCACAGTGGCTGAGTGACATCAATTAGCCGCCTTGGGAAGCTAAAGCAGAACTCTGTAGGGGGGTCTCCTGACTCCCATTCTCACTCTGGCTAGACAAGGCTGCAGCTCCAGGCTGGCTGGTTAGTTGTCTCCAGTTAGTACTGGGGAACCTGTGAGGTATCCTGCCCAGTCTTGCTCCAATCTGAAGAAGGCTAGAAGAGCTCTCAGGGCAATGGGGCACTGGTCTCAACCTCCCAGCTGTCTGCTCCACCTGCGACAACCCCAGCTGGGGCAAGTGCAGTTCCTCCCATCCTTCTTCACAAGGCTGGACAACAGTCCACCAGGAACTCACTTTCTTCAGTGGGCACCACCACATCAGAGACCCAGATACTCACCGAAAGCATAGTGCCCCACTCAGGACCATCTTGAGTTCCACAATGAGTAGACTCTCCTGTTTTGAAAACACATAGAAAAATTTTAGGCAAAGACTGGGCTGTCAAGGGCCTAGGAAGCAGGACCCTGAGCCTCCCAGCCCCCAAGCAGAGGATTCTGGATCTGGGTATCAGGAGAGGTCCCATTCATGCCAACACCCAAAGATACCTCAGAATGATCTTTTATCCTGGCAGGATCCTGTGGTGTTTGCCTGCTCCTTCAAGGATGCTTTGGCCTTTTAAGCACACTAATGAACCAGGGAGGAGCCCTGAAACTTAACCTAGGGAGGAGCAGGGTTTCCCAGAGTGATTTCATGCCACCCAAAGTCTCCAGAAACACCTACTGCTACTCATTATCTCAGGGAAGACTTCTGGAGACAATCATTTTCCAGCAATTCTGAAGAACTTCCTTGGGGCTTCCCAGCTTTCCAAGAGCATTCAGCTGCTGCAGATAGCAGCTCAAGGAAACTCAATTCTAGAACTACCCTTCGCTCTTCCCTCCCTTCCTTCCTTCTTTCAGTCCCTCCTTCCTTCTTGCCTGTGCCAGGCCTATGGGGATGGTAGAGGTGGGGATCTCCTGCTTAGGAGATGTTTAGGCAACCGGTTTATTGTGGAAAAACTGGAAAATCCAGAACAGCAGAAAACAAAAACATTAATACTGTCTCTGAATGCATTACCAAATGACAACACTTTTTCCACCACACACTTAACTATAGACAGATTTTCATACCACATCATAGAAACCATACTCTTTTTCAACCTACTTCTTGATATAACAAAGTGGCAGAATATTTTCCCATACCAAACATGTCTAATGGCATCACACATTTGAGTAGCTATCTAGTATCTTACTGTACAGCTGTAACATCATTCATTTAAACAAATCTGTTACTGTTGGTTGTTTATTTGCTTATTTTTGCTATTGTCATGATAGACCTCTATAAATCTATGATTGATCTTAAATACCTAATTGGGAAAATAACACCTAATTGCAAAACTTTTAATGCTTTTACAAACTTTCTGTGATGGATCTGAGTTAAAGGTAAGGGTCAATGTATAACAAACAATTAATATATTGTTAAATTTATATATTGTTAAGCATAAATTTTTTTTAAATGGTATTCAGACATATGGCCCAAAAAGTCCTTAAAAGGTTCAAGAATAAAAAAAAAATCCAACTATTCAAGAGATATAAAATAACCCATTAGTGATATAATGACATTATTATAATAAACATCTTTCAGAAAAATAAATTCAATTCAAGAAGCTGCCTTATGCAAGATTATTAGATGACCAAATAAAAGCAACACTAAAATAACTACAAAAACAAAACAAAATAAAATTCCAGAATAAGTTGGCCTATAGGCAAAGTGATTATAAGCAAACTGGTTCTCATCTATAGAAGTGGGTATCATTTCACCTAAAAAGTGAGACTGCCAGCCAGGTGTGGTATCAACCAATAAAAAGCTGGGCATGGTCGTACCCGCCTGTCATCCCAGCTACATGGAAAGCTAAATAGGAGAATCACAGACCAGGCTGACCCCAGCATAAATATTACACCCTGTCTCAAAATAACCAAAGCAAAAAGGGCTATAGGTATAGCTCAAGTGGAAGAGCACCTGCCTAGCAAGTGCAAGGCACTAAATTCAAATCTCAGTTCCAAAAAAAGTCAGATGCCATCTACCTGGACCACCTTCCCTGACTTCCTGCCTCAGTGAGTTGCACCCACGTGTCCAGTAGACCATGCTGTGGGCTAGCAAAACTCTTTCCACCTTCTGCCTAGCAAAGAATGATATCCAAACATGGATGTTCCCCACCCCCAAGATGAGACAAGCTTCCTAAGGGTGTAAGAAGATGGCTATGTTAGCTTCGTCTATTGTGAAATGTGCTAAATTGTGGATCCACACAGGATGAATGAGTTAAGAAGAAAGTGCGAAATACAAAACAAACCATTGTTAAGAAAAATCCTCTACACTTGAAAATAAGAGAAACGATGTCAGTGGCTTTAGTCATCATACTGGCACATCGTCCATCAGTCCCACCAATAATCCCTTGGTTTGACTTACTAATTGTTATTGATTAAGTCCCAGTGTGTTCATGTGGTTTGGATGTCCCCACCAAAACTCATGTTGAAATGTAATCCCCATTGTAAGATATTAAGAAGTGGGACCAATTGGGACCTTTAAGAAGTGATTAAGTTGTGAGATCAGAGAATAGATTAATCCACTTAAGGATTAGTAGATTAATGGGTTAACAGATTATCTGAAGAGTGGATCTGGTCATATATGTACCTCTTTTACTATGCAATGCCCTGCAATATCTTGGTACTCTTCAGAGCCACACCAGCAAGGAGGACCTCACCAGATCCAGCTGCTGATCTTGAACTCCCCAGCCTTCAGATCTGTGAGAGAATAAACTCTTTCTTTATAAATTACCTAGCTTTTCTGTTACACCAACATAAAATGTACTGAAGTTAGATGTGAACTAAGAGAAGACTGATAAATTGCAAGTTACTCTTGTCTGGCAGGCAAAGGTAACCCAAAGGGAGTTTTACCTTTCAATTCATTAAGCAGCTTTTTAAAATGTAATTTATTCTAGCATTTCTTTACCAATAATAGTAAAACCCTCCCTTCATTGAATCATCTTTTTTGTTAGTTTGTTTTGTTTTGTTTGAAATAGGGTCTCACTATATAGCCTATATTGGCCTCAAACTCATAATACTCCTGCTTCAGCCTCCCCATGTGCTGGAATTACAGTTGTTTGCCACCATGCCTGGCATTAATCATCTTTTAATAACCAGCTTTATTATCCTACTGATTCCTTTACTTTTAATAATAGTAAATCTTTGACTCCTACTTACATGTTACATGGTGGAAACAAGAGTGTGTCACTTCTGACGTTAGGTCATACAAGGTATTGCAGTCAACTCCTTACTTTTTCCTAGATCATTCACCTGGGGAAAGCCAGCTGCCATGTATCAAAGACACTCAAGTGACCCTAAAGAAAGGCCCTCACAGTGAGAAACAATGAAAGCTTTTCACCAGCATCTTGTGAGAGAGCAACCTCAGACGCAGGTCCTCCAGCTCCAGTGGAGCCTTCAGATAACTGCAACCCTGGCTGACATATTTCCTGCAACCTCATGGGAACCCCTGTGAGACCAGAATTCTGATTCCTGATTCACAGGACCTGTATGGAATAGTAAATGTTTCTTGTTTTAAACTGCTAGGTTTGGGAATCATCTGTTAAATATAATAGGTAACTAATATACTTGTCATCACTACTGGCCATTTCTATTACTAGTATTTTTTCATTTGCTGTGCTCTTCAGTAGGGATTCCCTCCTCAGAAAGCATCTCAATACTTTGTGGTCTTCATATGCCCCAGAATATGTCACAGCCTGCAGTGTGGCAGAGACTTATCACCACTTTTATGAGGAAAGCAGTATCCCAGGAGGAGATTAAGATAAGGACTTAATAGTATAAGGCCATTCAAGTTATGAATATGCATATAAGTACGAACACTTTGTTATGGGAAGACAGTAAATTCTTGTTATGGAGATCAACCTAATAAGAATTAAAATAACCAATGTTCATTTACTATTATATCCTTAGATTTATTATTTTTTGGTGGCAGTGGGGATTGAACCCAGGGTTTTGCTCATGCTAAGCAAGTATTCTCCCACTTGAGCTACACCCCCAGTCCTTTTGTTTGTATTTTGTTTTTGAGACAGTTTTGTGCTACTTTTGCCTGGGCTGGCCTCAAACTTGAGATTCCCATGACTCCACCTATGTTCATGGAATTAAGATTAGTGGTTTGTCTGAATTTTTCGTTTCATGCTCCTGTAGTTACCTCTGTGGATTATTATCTATTTTATGGATATGGAAATCAAGCATAAAAGATTCATCATACTGCCTAATACTGGATCCCTATTAGTATCAGAGTCAGAACTGAATCCATGGAACCCGAGCCCAAGGCTATTGACCCCAAGATACAACATGGCAGTTAGAGTGGTCTTTTTACTGCCCCAGTCAGATCCTGTCACTTCTCTAGCCTGTAGAACTCTGAGGGCAAAAGGCAAGTCTTCATCATGTCTCCAAGGCCTACACAATAGGGATCCCATTAACTCTTGGTCCCTGTCTTCCTTGTTAAGAGAGTAGGACGCACATGGATCTCTTGCTCTTCCTTGAACAATCCAGGCCTTTGCACTGGCTGTTCTTCCTTCCCAGAATGCTCTTCACCAGCACATCAGCATTGCTCACTCCCTTACCTCCTTTAGATCTTTGCCTCAATGCCACCCTCTCACCAAGGCTTAAGCTCATCATTCTATGCCTCCCTTTCCAGTTCACATTTCCTTTACCATACTTCATTTCTTTCCATGGTGGTGACCGCTTATCATACTGTATAATCCATCCACCTTTATTATTTATTGTATTCCATTCCCATTGCTGCTGGAAGATAATCTCAAAAGAGGAGAGGTTTCCCTTGTCTGTTTTATTGATTGGTATAACCTAAGCACTTAGGGTAGTCCTGGCAAATAGCATGTTTTCAATAAATAAATGTTGTACCCAAATTCATTGCATTATTTCACTTTAAAAAAGACCAAATGATTATCTAACATTTTGTTCATGATTATTATTTTATTTCCCAGAGAGCTTTGATGCTTGTGGGTCCTCATGTTCTTGATGTAGCAGTTAAGACCAGGAGTTGGCAAATTTTGGTCTATGGGTCAAGATCAGCCCATAACTTGTTTTATAAATGAAGTTTTATTAGAAAGCAGCCTTGCTCATTTGTTTACATATCATCTATAGCTGCTTTTGCACTATGAAGCAGAGATGAATATTTGTGATGAGACTATATGGTCTGCAAACCCTACATGGCCATATAAAGAAAATACTTGCTGAACTCTGTTAAGACTATCTAGGTTCATGTCCTAAATCTGTCACTTACTACCATGTATCTTTGGTAAAGTTATTTAACCTTTCTGTATTTGGGAG